CGCAGTGAGTCGCGCTGTTATCTCTCTCTATCTTTCTCTTCGATTCTATGAGTGAATTGCCGAACACCTTCTTGTGCCTGCAGCAGCCTCTCTTCGCTCACGCATTGCCCGACACAGCACTGTCGCATTCGGTTGCTCTCCTTCCGCAATTCCTTTTTGATCGCTCGCTCTCTCAAAGCCAAAAGCACCGCTCCACACTCGGCTGGGACGACCCTCTCTCTCTCTCGCTCTTCAGCCGCGCTCTCCAGCTTCGCTCTCCAGCCTCGCTCTCTTCTAAATGCGCATTGAAGGCATAACAGAAAGCTCTACTACGTCGTTCCTGTTCTTTTTTCTTAAGGCTATGCATTTCTCTTTACATTATTCTCATCTGTCTCCGTCACATGTATATGTACATAGATGTATATAAATAACGTTGGTCTATCATGGATATTACGCTATTATAACCTTCAAAGACTCATCCATTTATTTCCTTGAATATCTATGGCATTCACTTTCCTCTTCTGGCGGGCCCTTTCCTGCCTTTTCCTAGCCATTCCTTTATTCTCCACTACCCAAGATCTTATCAAGATCTGGCCATATCAATTATCCCGGGCTTTATCTGTTCATCGCTGAGTAAACGACGAATGCGTGCCAATTAATGTGCTGACGGACGATGGCGAGAGGGAATGATGACAACGATGATGGCCTAAGGACAAGTTGTCCCCATGCCAGACCCTTGGGAATATCCGAACCACTCTTCCCCGTTCGCAGTGGCCAGGGGTTTTGGCCATTAAACTTGTGATGGAGCTGATGGACACGTGACTGTATAATGCATATGTCTGCAACATTTAGTGCCACTCAGCCCGGCTTCTTTGCCCCATTATCCCTTATATCGTACGGCTTTCCCTTGCCCTTTCCCTTTGGGGAGCACAAACACACCCAGTAAACATTGGAAAACGCCTGTAAATTATCCACTGGGGAAAACGGGTTCGTTTTTTCGACTAACTTTGGAAAAAACAACAGCAGAAACGGGATGGGGCGGACAGGTAAAAATGGGGGTCCTGTTTCTGGTTGAAATTTACTGGTGACAAAATATATTTTTAGCACCACCGAAAGGCACCGAAAAGCGCCCTGTGGAGGGGCAGGGAGGGTGCCAACACATTGTACTCTAACCCCATTTGTTTCAGTTAATATTCTTGAGGCAGAATTTTCATTGCTAGGCGAGTTTTTGCCTTTTTGCTTGCTGCTTTTTCATTTCATTTTATTGCCACGAATTTTCTTCTATTTATTTTTTATGCCGCTCCCTCTTTCTCTCTGTCTCCGTCTCTGTCTACAATTAACTTTAGCTTTTCCCAACATGTTTTTCGGCTTTTCCTTCTGCCACGAACGCGTTATCCTGTCGTGTTTTTTGGGGATGTGGCGGCGTCTGTTTGCCTCGAGCTTCCTTTCTTGCCTTGGGCCTTAATATCTCCCACTTCCTCCCGAGACTCTGGTTATTCTGTTAATTAGTCTGCCGCTGAATTTCGTTTATTAATTATGTAATCCATTTTTCTGCCTAATTATATTGAGAAAGGCTGCCTGCCTGCCCGCCCGCCTGCCCTCTGCCTGCCTGCTGCCAACATCAGGATTCCGAGTGTTCCAGAAAACACACACACTACACATACTACTCGTGGGTACATATAAAAGTCCTGTAATTGGACTGTAATTAACTGAACAGCCTGTCGGGACAGGGGAGTGGGGGACTTGGGGCAGTATTCCTGGCAGGTGCCTCTCGGATAGATACAGGAATTTCTGTCTAAATAAATGTAAATAAGACTTGGGCGAGGGAAAACAATGTGGGGTAGGAACGTTTTTTCTGGGACTCTCAAGGGGAACTGCTCATAATTAGTGGGGTGCTGGGGATGGGGAATGGGGGGATGGGGAGACCAGAGACATAAACAATTTAAGGAATGCCTTTTGAATGCTCCTGAGGAATAATACCCTTAAAAATAATACACTAAAAAAGGTGTGGGACACCCTCAAAAATTTCAGCTATTTTTAGAATTTATATTAAAACTAAACAAGATTCTAGGCATATCTTGTGTGTACATACAAGGGCTGCCTTTTAAGTCCGTATGAACAGGTCAAAGGTCGCCACTTCCCTTGGAAGGTTTGTCATCTTTTGGCTAGAATATGCCAAGGACTTTTTCTTTTACAATCGCGTTTTATATCATTCAAGGAGGAACATTGCCCTGCCATAATTTTCTACGATTTTGGGCGTGGATTTTCAAGACAAAAATTCTTCGATCCACATAGTTCAAGTCCACTGCCACTGCAACGTCCTTGGCTGCAGAACGAATCTTGTGAGGGTCGTCTTAAAAAGGTGGCTGTACCGGAAAGATTGGATGCAGGATTCGGTATTGCTATATTTTCATTCGACACGCCATGAGACATTAAATGGACCAAGATGCATTCAAAATTGGCCCTTAAAAAAGAATTTGTCACGTGACATTTTCCCCCGTAACACTCGTTTCCGCTGCTCTGAAAAAGTGCTTTGAAAATTGGAGAATATTTTGAAGAACAATGATATTTTGTTGGTCCTTCAGTATTAGGCCATGGACCCCTAGAAACTTCTAAAAAATATCATAGATGATAGACTCGTATGTACATATTTTCCAGATATTTTCTTTGTAATCTCCCCCCTTCATTGCGCAACAGAACTACGAATGAGACCTATTCAAACACCCATATGTGTATAGAGGAACACATACGAAACAACCTACTTGCGGTCTCCATTGTTGAGCTCCTAAAAAGTCCTAAAAAGAGTAACTCGAACTCTGGGCGGGTTCGCTTCCATTGGGATTCGACACACATCCATCGAAAAGCACGTTGCCCCAGGGATGGTGCAACGAAACAAAGGAATGCTGCCACATTAAACGGAACAAATGCATAGGAAATCATCCGGCAGGACTTGGATTGGTTGAGGGATGGACAGGGTGGCAAGGGTGGCAAGGAGTGGCAAGTCGCATCGGGAGGTGGTGGTGGTGGTGGCTCGTACAACACGAAACATGTTGCAAAATATCTCAGACGGACAACTGCACTCTGATGGTGTCATAAATCTCAAAGGAACGGAAAAACACAGAGATACAGAGAGATAGAGAGAAAGCGAGAAACAACAATGAAGGATGGATGCCAAGGTGCGGCAAAGCAGGCCAAGGATGCCCTGCCACGATTCGGGGCAGAGGACACCGTAAGACACTGCATAATAGACACACACCAAAATTAATGATTTACGGTGCTCTCTGTCTCTGGCGAAAACAGGTTGGGAAAGTACCCGATGAGTGAGTGTCGTCCCACATTGCGATTACCTGCCGGGGCGACAGGTAGACCCGGCCCAGTGGGTGTGAATAATGGCCAAAGCACAGAACGAGGCCAAAATCATCGAAAATGAGTCTTGGCGAAGGCTGGATGACTACCAATCGCTTATCTTATCAAGTTCTGTGGCGGGAATCGAGCGTGGAGGCGTCACCCCCCGTATTGCGTGTGTCATCCCGGCAGAATCCAGGCCCCGCATGGACTTCTCACCTGGCGTGTGCCGAAGATCCGATGTGCAGCTGCCCTGAGCAGCCAGCTGCCTGGGGACACAGATTTGTTGCCTTTTGTTCTGAGGGAATTTCGACAGCACAATGGATGCCCAAAATCGGCTGCAGGCCGGCTGATGGCCGGACAAAATAAGCATTTAAGAAGACAGGAAATGGCAAATGTTATTCCCCATGTGAGCCCCGAAATGAGACGCATTCCGGTTATGGATCGCAACATTGATAGCAGATAGCAGATAATAGATAACAGATAACATATAACGGAATGCGTAATTGATAGGTAAAGAGCGCAACCCAGATAGATACACAAATGGGGCGGCGAAATGGCTTCGAGATAAGTCTCCCACAGCCCTGCCTGAACAATCTTTTCTAGTATCGATTTTCAGACAAAACCAGAAACTGGGAACAGCCGTAGAGGTACTGTATTTTCTATTTGAAATTAATTCATTTTCCAGCAGTTATTTTAAATTCCTTGCCACTGGAGGAGTCCCCCTGCCCCCTGGGGGACACTTTCACTGCATAAACCAAGCCACTGTAAAATACATTTGTCGCCTTTACGACTATCCCTCTCCACAAAAAAAAATAAAATGCCAAGCATTTCGTTTGTTTTGTCTCCTTCCGAGCAATATCCTCCTTGACCCGACACAAACGCGACAGTTGATTCCAGTTTTGTCTGGTCTTTTGTTCTGGCAGCCGCTGCAATCTGTCACTTTTCGCACTCCGGGCCGTCCGGGCCGTCCGGGCCGTCCCTTTATGGGCCCGTCTGTCTGCTGTCCTGGCTCCTAGATGACAGGATGTGCAGGCACTTCAGGCATTTGCCATATTAAAATTGCTTGGCGCTGACAATTGCCCGTGATTTGACAACGCCAGTCGAGGAATCGCAGGTGAGAGACGGGACCCCCCGAAAAGGTAGCAGAATTCCGCGAAATTAAATTCCAAAAGAGAGGAGACTTCAAGGCAAAGAGTCAGCGACACCCAACTCTGAAAACTTATCCCTGCATTAACGGGGCCAGAGCCCATAGGATGTAAAATGGGGCCAGAAATTTGTTGAATGGAATAGTTTGCATAGCGGAAATTTAGATATTCGACTGCTGGACACAATAGAAGAATAACTACCTTGGGATCTTGCTGGTTTCGGAATTACTTTAAGAGTAGCTCCCAAGAGCAGGGCATTCCCCCGGAAAACACAATCTTGCCTGAGAAATGTTCGAGGCCAGCGAAAAGCCATAAATATTCCCCCAACACGAACACGAATATAATCAAAAAAGGATGGCAGGGAGTCAGGATGTGGTCAGGATATGCGGTGGAGGCTCAGCAAATAATATATGTATCTCCATCTCTCCCGAACAAACAGTTGGCTTGGGGGGAGGCCTCGATTAATAGGCTTTCCACCGCGAGTCCTTGGCGGCAGCATGGGAGTGTTTTCCTCCAAATTTTACTCACCTTTTGAGCCTTGCAAGTCACGTTTATGGACTGCACCTCGTGGGCCTGGTGACGCTGCTCCCCGATGCACTGGCCGCAGGCCGGGATCTTGCAGTTGAGGCAGTACTGGGAGAGGGTCTCCTCGTGCTCGCCGCAGACCGACTCCCGCTGCTGGGGGGCCCCGCGCGGCTTGACCAGCGTGTGCTTGGCCAGGGGCCCGCGGGCCGGGTGGCAGAGCTCCCGACAGGGCTCGCAGTAGCGGATCTCGCACTGCTCGCAGATCAGCGAGGCCACCTTGGGGTCCGTCTCGCACATCTGGCAGCGCAGCGCCTCGCGGGCGCAGAAGCGGTCCACGATGGCCTCCATGGCGCGATAGGTGGGCAGATTGCGGACGCCGCCGTCGTCGAAGAACACGAGCTTCCGGCACAGGGGACAGGTGAGGCAGTAGGCGGCGCCGGGGGGCGCGACCACGGAGCCCTGCAGCAGCCCCTGGAGCTGCCCGGTGCCGGCGTACGAGACCGGACGGGATGTGTTCGAGCAGCAGACCACGCCGGAGTCGGCCTCGCTGAAGATGCTCACTTTGTCGGACTGGTCCTGGTCGGAGGTGACGCTCTCGCTGCCCGTGTTCGAGCTGGCCGTGCTGGCGGCCGAGCTGTGGGAGCTGTGGCGGGTGCCCGGCCCGGCTCCGTTGGCGACCCCGCTGGCTGCTCCCCCGCCGGATACGGACCCGGGGCCCCCGTTCACCTGGCCGTGCAGTCCGTTGTGTCCGCCGTTGGCGCTGGCGCCCGATCCCCCGGCCACGGCCAGAGCCACTCCCGGCGTGTACGGAGTCTGGATGTCCAGGGCACAGCCCAGGCACAGGGCGTGGAAGCAGGGCAGCAGCACGGGATTGGCGTACAGCTGCTTGCAGGTGGGACAACGTAGCTCGTCCTCCATTTCAGCAGATGCTTTCCTCCGAAGGAACGCGATGCGGATTCGCTTGGGACTTGAGATCTCTGCTGCTCTCTGCTGGAGTTCTGGGTCTTTTGGGGCTTCGGTCACTTAGCGGGGACTGAGACACTGGAGGAGCATGTTTGGCAATTGGTTTTCACGGCTTTTCACTTTTATTTCAACCGAAGTTCACTTTAAGTTTCAATTCAATGTGTAAGTATTTCAATAATACTTTTGGTACTAAATATTTCCAGTACTTTTATCGGAAATGTACGTCTCTTTAACTTTTATTTCACAAATTGCACAGTTTCTTCACTTCAGAGTTGAAATATTTACTATTTCCTCTTTCTGGATCTCAAAACTACACTCTTGGGTTCAAATACGATTGAAACGCTTTCTGAGGTTCGTTCTTTGGTTTAAATCTTTCCACTTTTATTCGAATTTATTTCAAAAACTTCACACACTGATCCAAATACAACGATTTTGTTGTTCCACCTTTTTAAAAAAAGTTGCTCCTTGGTTTTATTTATTTTTGAGTTTTTGTTTATTCAATTTAAAAAACACTGTTCATTCACTAAAGTTCACGCTTCATTCACGAAAAACACGACGAATATTCCGAATAACGCGCGCGCAGCAACCAACAACCGCTCGGTTCAAATAACGGGGAAATAGTGACGTATCTTCACCCGAGCAAGAATATTTGTTGTCATTTGTTGTCGACCAGGGTATAGGCATTTGTATACCCTATTTCGTTAATTTTATATGAAGATCAAACGTAATTTATTAAGACCTTTTCTCAAATTGATACGTTTTAGACATATTCATGTGTATTATTAGTATCTTGTATACATTTATCTCGATCCTGATACCTACGGAGCCTGGGATGACAAACATATTCACAGTTCTATAAAATCCATTTCCCCCAGGGTATATGGGCATGGAATGGGACTCATTGTTGCCAACCGGTTATGACGACTAATTCTTGGTTATTGTTTCTTCCATCGAATATTACCAGCTATATAGAACATTTAGCCATGCCCACTTAATTTTATACGATTGGTGAATCAATTTCCTAATTGATTTGCATAATTTGAATAAATGCATTTATTAGATTTTGTTTAAAAAACGGTTTTAGAAGAAAATGAAACTCAAATGTTGCTCGGCAACAAACGCGTGTTGCGAGTCATTTTTGCGTTCAGCGAGCGAGTTCGGCCTCGGCCTGCTTCGGGTTTGATGCCAACATGTTCGACGAACTCAAACCGGGTTTGCTTCGAGCGCCAAGATGCAAATAATTTAAATTTGAATATTCAAAAATTAAACTTGTTGTGCTCTTGTTACACATTAAAAAGTCAAATAGTCAACTTAAAAGTACAAATGTAATTAACGAATGTAATTGGCACGAAAATGAATATGAAGGCTGATAAAGTGGTTCGCTTTTGGCAAAATCTGCCGAGTTGCATGCATTTTCAAAAGTAATGTCTTGGGAGAATCGTTTCAAGGGTTATTGAGGGTTTCTAGAACCAATCGCTAACACAAGGAAATAGAAATACTTTTACCTTTGCAGATACTGCGCTTTATTCGCCTTATCGGAGCCTGCCCCACAACCGTAGAACCGTAGAACCGTGCCCCTCGCACCCGATAACAGCCCTTCGTTGGGTTTCACACATACCTAGGTAAACCGAGAGGCAAGAGGCAACAGGTAGAGGCAGAGGCAGTGCACGCCGCTGATAAGCCCAGCACGCACATGGCGACATTCCAGAGTCTCGGAGGTGTCAGCTACGATCAACAAATATGGCTAGAACCCGACCCGGCTCTGGGCGACTCCAGTGTTTGTTGTTTGCTTAGATATCGAATCGGGCAATCGGGCGGGAATCGGGGAGTGCAGTGCAGTGGAATGGAACGGGGGAGAGGGCCAATGGCCCGCGCAGTTCGATATCCGATACCTGATATCCCACAGAATAACACAAATAAGGTGACCTGCTCCATTTGTTTGTCTATGGTGCAGCAGTGGCAGTGGCAGGGGCACGTTGCACCAGGGAACAAGCAAATCGTGCAACGTGGAGCATGTCTCCACCCTCCAAGCGACTCCCAAGCCATGCGTAATCCGTTCGACTTAATAAGCCACGTTCCTGTCCAAGTATTTGATCTGGATTTGAAATCGGGAGGTGTTAAGTGCCCCCCGCACTCTCCCCCTTAACGAACCTCTCACTTCCCTATGCAAATATTGACAGGCGGCCCATTCGTATGCGTAATTTGCCTCAATTTATTGTTGTTTGCTCAACTTTTCCCCACCACCTCCCACCACCCATTTCTGTCTGCCTCTCTTTCTCTTTAACATACTTTTTCTGGTTTCGTAATAAATCACAAAATTGGACAGAAAGTAGGGAAGAGACAGAGAGAGGGAGCGGGAGTATATCCCCTAATTGGTGTATTGATTTTGGTTTTTCCTTATGGCCCAAGTGTGAAATATGGCGGGGGGAGGTGCGTTGGGATGGCGCCAGACAACAAAATAAAACTTACTTATCGGGTTAGAGGACTGTTCCCATATGTATATGGGATCCGTATTGATGGAACGCATTAAGGGTCGAATAGCCAATGATGGATGCCATTATACTGTATCGTACTCGATGGAGGACAGTTTTACGGCGGAGCTACCAGAAATAATGAATTTACCGAGCATTAACCTGTTGAAAAACTATCGAAAACGATTGAAATGCCAAGCGATTTGCTATGAGATTCGGAAAAGTGTAAGATAAGGTTCGATTTCAATTTCTAGCATCCACTTAAATGATGAATATCCAACCGATTCTCCAAGAAAGCAATTACTCCAATAATCTTATATGGAAAATCTCCTATCATACATCATTTGGAGACCAATTTTTTAGACCAATTTGTGCCATTTCTTCTGTAACGTTCTCTAATGCCCCTACTGAGAATCGTTTATCCCGGAACTTGAACATAGTTCATCGGTTCATCTCCGAACCGAACCACTCAACGATTTTCTATTGGTAAACCGCTGTTTAATGACAGATGATTTGTGGTGCTAAACGATTCCAGTGCCTTTCCAACGCCCACCAGAATACCATATTTGGATCCCTGTTTATTTCCCTTTATACAAATTTTCGAATAGAATTTTACGCGTAAGCATTCCGGGGATCAGCCAGCGAGTCCATAATTCACTGCAGTTTAAAATATTTAAAAACTTTCGACGCGAATATACCGCACTAATACTAGCTACCAAATATATATGTGTGTACAAACCCCTTGGCACCCCCAAGTCCGCCCTCGTGCCCGCTCTTCGTTCTGGTCTACTTTAATGCCGTATATCATGTGGTGTAACCATGGCCAAGGACATTCACCATATGCGAGCATGCATAAAAACGCAATAATAACAGAACCCTCCCCCCTGACCGCTACCCGCTACCCGCCATCCGCTCCTGGCTCCCCACTCTGCCGCGCACTTGGGGGAGCAGCATCCGAAATAGCAGAAATACTTTGGTCACCGCGGGTGCGAAACATTTTTTTTATGCACTTTTCCCTTCTTTTTCGGGGAAAGCTGAACAAAAAAGGAATGCCAGAAAAACAGCACAATTTTTGTGACTGGCGGCGCTTTAGCCTGGCTTTTGCTGTAAGTGTGTTCCTCTGTGGCACGGACACGGGCACGTATACCCAGCTTCCAGCTTCCAGCCATTCAAGCCATCCCATCCGGTCCCGGCCAAAGTCTCTTTCATGCGTTTTGTCGTGCGCCATGCCCCATGCCCCATGCCCCATGCGCCATGCGGCCGCGACGGCCACAAGAGCAAGCAGGATTCCGGTATCCATCGTCATTGTCGGGTTAACAAACACCACCCACCCAAGCACCCAAGCACCCAAGCACCCACTCATCCACCTACACCCACACAAGCGAAGAGGAATATAAACAACAAAAAATTCTTCAGCTATAATAACCCTGAGTATCCAGAAAGTAGCAACGACTCGCTGGATTCCCTGTCCAGAACTAGAAAGCCCTTTTAAAATTAAAATAAAAACAATTTTAGACACAATTAAACTATTTTAAAGGTTCCCACAAATTGTTGTACACAAATTATTTGTAGATTAGATAAAGATATTGCTGAAACAGACTTATTACATTTTAAATACAGAAAAAATCGTTTAGCAAAGCCTCTGAAATTAATACCAATAAAAACCGGAAACGACTAATTTATTGATTCAGATTATAATTTTTAATGATCTTTCTATGTTCATTGGTAGCGATTAGCTGCTACCTCCCAGGAGCTCCTGAAAGTAGAACAATAATCTGTTTCTTGCCGAACTCAAGATAGGGTCAATATTTTAGCTACCAAAAAAATAATCTCTATTAAATCTCCGCTGCTCACTCCCTTGAAAATCCTGCACCACAGAAAGAACGAAAATCCCTTAAATATTGGCAGGGTATTTTCAAAGTTTTTTCTTTTTTTTAAGTTAAGGAACAATATGTATAAAGTTTAACCGAAAGGGAGAATAGAGAATGGACCTCCTGGGCGGAGGGGAGGGGGACGGGGAGAGTTGTTGCTTCGGCGGCTTCTTGCTCCGCTCACTCGTTCAGGATAACATCACCAAATGAGATTAGGAAGGACATTCGCGTATTTAACACGGACGGACACTGAAACTGCTACCAAAGGCAGCCGGCCCGGAGAGGAGAGCAGCTGCACTCGAAGGGAGACAGGGACCCCGAGTGGGGGACACCGAGTATAGACAGACGGTGACGGTGGGGCAGAGGGCGCAGGGCTGTGTAACTGGTAACCAGTAGGATATCCTGACTGCCTGTTAGCTGGTCTGCACAGACACTGTACTCTCTGCACAGGACCTCTGCGGGGGTCCATTGAGTGGGGTTTTTTGGCAAAAACGTTCAACAGGGGAATACATGGGGGTGGGGGTGGGGCCCCACTCTCTGGGGCCACAAGTCCAGTCCTGGCTGCTAATATTGTGTACCACGCTTAGCGCCTCTGTTGTCATTGCAGGAAGTTGCAACAGTTTGAGGCATTGTAATTGCTTTTTTGTTTGTCCCTGCGAGGCACGAGACGGGGCCGAGGAGGGGGATGGGCATGGGATGGTGCTGTGTGGGATCTGGTATTGCAGCAAATTTTTAATTAGATTTTTTGATTTTTTTTTCCATCTCTTTCATGGAGATTTTTTGTGTCCACCGCCCGAGGTTCTGTTTTCTGTTTTAGCAAATGACACTCGCCTCAAATTGGGTCCGGCTGGGGGTGGGGGTTGAGGCAGAGTCCTTGGACAAACATATTTGTTAACGAGTTAAAGCGAAGATAAACCGGAAATTATGGGGCATGACAAATTGTTCGATGGTTATTCTTGGGGCAAAGATTCTCCACCACAGATGCGACGAGGAGCGACTGCTTTTTGTGGTTTTCAGCCACCGACAGGGAAAAAGTTGTAAACTCCCAGGAAACCCATGGCAAGAAAGGTAAAGTTTGTACAAAAGAAATGAAAATTTTTGACTGAATTTTTTAAACATTACGAGAAAACGCCGGAGGTATTTTAAGAGCCGCAAAGTTTGTTTTAAAGAATTTTGAGGGAATATGCCGACTTAATTTTATCTGAGATCACTGGAGGACATTTGCAATTAAATTAATTAAATGAAA